GAGTTCTGTTTCATGCGTACCGAGGAGTGCATCTGGAATCCAGGTCGAAACGAGAAGTTTGCGGAGGCAAATTGTGCATTGTGGGAGACGGAATTCTGGGGGCCGTGACAAGCGACGAGGGGACGGCCGAAGACCAAATCGAGTGGGTGAGCTCATACGGAGGGAAATTTCTGGAGTCGGGGGGGGTGGGAAAGGTGGCAACGGTGGCAACGGTGGCAACGGTGGCAGGGTGACGGGGTGTGATTGGGTGGGATCGGGTGGGATCGATTCGGACCGGGGAATATGGGAAATCTGAGAGTAACAATTGTACAGTTGTGAACCAGCCTACGTGTTAGCGCATACTGTAGTATTTGTGAACTGGTAGATACAGGTTGAACACGTTTTACACATTATGATTATGAAACGAGGTCATACTGGAAGTGCGCGTGTCAGGGCCTTTCTTGTAATGGTGACGGGGTAGGAATGCACTCTCACATTCTTGACAATAGATGTCTAGAATATCGTGCTCGCTTGGTTCCGTTTAGTCTTTTATTTGAGTTTATTTTCAGGCGATTCAATCAACTTCTACTACTTTCCAGCTCCTAATAAAGTGAGCTCGTCCCTGGCTTGCGACCGCCGCCCGCTCACCGACGACTCTTTTTGCAGAAACCTCTTCTCTTTTTGCGCACTCTCCGCCGACGGACAGCGCCAAAGGAAGAAACAGGCCGGTCGAAGGCCTGTAGCGAACAGAGTCTCACAGTGTACGACACTAATTAGTAAGTACTGTGTTTACTACCAACCTCCCGCCCTACACCGCTCCGCCTTCCTCGCTCGGCATCGTCCCGCCTCTCTCTCTCCCGGAACAGCCGCCGCCTCTTTCGCTCGGCACCGCTCCTCCTGTCGCTCGGCACCGCCCCTCCTCCCGCTCGGGGCTGCCTCGTCTTCTGTGCTCTGCTCCGGTCCGCATTTCCGGCCCAGCACCGCCCTGCCTTCCGGGCTCGATACCGCCCTGCCTTCCGGGCTCGATACCGCCCTGCCTTCCAGGCTCGATACCGCTCCGCCTCTCGACGCAGCACAACTCTGCCTCGCTGCACACCATCGCTCCCAAGTAGCCCAACACTGGAGCCTCGCACATTCAAACATTCTAATTGTGCATCTACTGTCATCACACCTCACTGCTTATTCCCGAACTGCAGTTGCCGTGACACTCGTCACAGCACACACCCGCCCAAAGGCTGTCAGTCACTCAAACACTTCTAAAACTCGTCGTGATTCCTGCTCAAGTTTATTGATAATTCTCATTGGATCTGGTGCTACGGCTCGCCGAAATCTTCGTCTTGCGTGATCTCGCAAAAAGCGAGCAGGGACCTAGCAAGTCTCGCGTGGCTGGTGTATTGGCACCTGGCGTTGGAACAGTTAATGCCCTGGGCACCCAGTGGTACTGTTATGCAGGATACTCTTGAATAGCAATCTTTGTTCACGCATTGACTGTGCTAGACAACGACGTTCCAGGGAATAGTGACGGAACGGTTAAAACCCCGCGCCCAGTATAGTGTCCTCTTCGGAGTAGGCTGCACTCGAATCTGAGATCCGACTAATCGCTGCATTGCGTGGGGGCGTTGGTGGCCTAAGCAAAAGTAGCCCAATCCTGGAGATCGGTCGTCAATTTATCAAGACTAACATGAACACTACGTCGGTTGCTCGGTAAGGGGATTGGATTGACATTACTGTTGGTTGTCTGTGGCTGCTTGGAACGTCAAGGTGAACACTTCTATAGGGTAAGGACCGGCCTTGGTTTATCAACTGATAACTCGGTGGATATCCCGAACGAAGTTATAGCCGGCAAACGCAGGGCCTGTGTTTGTTTAGACTGCTGAAACGGCCACCTCTCCGGAGTGGGGCGGACTCCGCGCCGAGGGTCGTATACCCTAAAGGCCTTTGCCAGTAGGTTGGACTGGCCGCCTAGGGTCGGAGTACCCTTCAAGTTTTCAAGAACAAGACTCAAGAATTTTACAGCTGACTAGTACTGGTGCACACTTTCTCCATAGTCTGCCTCGCCTGAACTGAAATCGTAATGTCGCAAACTGGTCAACCTAGTTACGAACCATCCGAACCTGCTGATCGCCCGACGTTCATGAAAAATATATCGGGTGCGGCATTATCATCGTTGACCAGTACTCAAAAGGGCTTTATTGTTGCCTTGAGATCTTTGGATCCGAGCCTGATAGGGAGTTTGCTACGAGAGGCCATTGCCGAACTCTTTCCTCCTGCACATTTATTCTCGAAAGAAATATGTGACTTGCCCACAGTTTGGGTCGAATTGAGAAATTTCCTAAACGCGCGTGGTGCAGCTTTAACACAACACTCTTCCAGAAGAGTAATCATGACTCTAGCACATGGCATTTGTGATGATGCTGAGGATAGAGCTGCAGCAGTTGAAATGGCTCAGCTCATAATAGCATCGGGGCGACGAGTGCGACCTGGTTTACGGAATGATGATCCACGTCCACATAGTTCAGGACCAGTAACTGAAGATAGTGGTGGTTCATTCGACAGCAGTGCTGCGAACCTGACTCGCTTAGCTCATAATGTCGCCATGAGGCTGAAGAGCTCCAAGTTCTCCGGTGATATTGGAGAATGCTAGATGGATTATGTCGACGAGTATTCGCAAATATCTCGCGACTATGGACTGTCACCACAGCAAAAATTCCAGTTTCTCCACAACCTTCTTTCGAAGGATGCTAAGCGATTCTATCTGGAACGTGTTCAGATGTATGCTCAAAGTTACCAGCAGGCGGTAGATATGGTGAATCAAGAATACAATTCACCTGTGCGTCAGACAAGGGTGAAGAACTATCTAAACTCCCTACGTGTTTCAAACTTCGTTAAGGAAGGCTTTGAAATATCAACAGCATTAGCTAAAGTATATAAGCTAATAACGAAACTATCGCGTCAGGTACCACCATCACATCGCGGGGACTCACACAAGATCGAGTTCCTAAGGAACGCTGCAGTTGGATACGGTTGGTCTCGTGAACCGTTAAGCCGAGTGGCAACCCATAACTTGTCATTCCAGATGCTATACGGGGAACTAGAAGCTGCGCTGCAGTTAGACAAGGAGACTGATCTGGCTTTGGCACGTGACCACGCAGCTGGACCTAGGTCCTCTGTTGCGAAGGATGACTCATTGGGGGTACTGTACACTGGACAGGGTCGCTACGGTAAACATCCGATGTATGTTAGATCAAAGGCAACTGGATATTCCTCACAGAAAAAGAAACCGCTGGACATCGCAGGTTGCTTTAATTGCGGAGACCCAAATCACATGCTCAAGGATTGTTCGAAACCCATAAATGCGTCCAGAGCTGCCACAATGAGACTCGAGTACTACAAGAAAAAGGACGACAGAAAACATGCTGTACATTTGGTTCTAGCTGAGCTGTGCCAACAGATCGACAAAGGATTTGCCGAGTCAGACGATGAGTCCGGAGAACCCGACGATGTCGAGATATTCCGCCTTGCGTTGAGCGAAGACGTCGCCCAAGCATCTAGCCCCACGTTACTCGATCACGAGAGTGATTCTGATATCGACTTTGCAGAGATATTCGTCTTATCACGCTCTTGGGACTCTCCGGCTAGCGATCAGTTTGAAGGTGCCTGTGTTGACTCAGGAGCCCAGAAAACTGTAATCGGATACCAGCAAGCTGAAGCTTACTGTGCATTAGTCAACAGCGAACTTGACAGGGAACTTAATGGAAAACGTTTGATCTTTACTTTCGGATCAAGCAAACACGAGCGGATCGGACAACTTACCGTTCGTATCCCGGTTTCCAATTCATTCTTTCTCTCCATTGTGGCCGACGTCGTTGATGTGGATGTTCCCTTCTTACTAGGACTGGACGTTCTGACCAAAGCACGTCTAATACTGGACTTTGAGGATGACGTGATGATATCAAAGGCTGATGGATGGAATATACCACTGACAAGGAAGCATGGTCATGTGTACATCGAATGGTCTTTGAATATTTTG